TATGTTCCTCATTAACAATTTTTGCCATCTTTTTACAAGACTCTGATTTTGCTTGGCTATATAAGACTTGGTTTCCATCTGTGAAATGTTGGCGGGTATGGCTTTCGCCTCTTAGAAAGGTTACTGTGGAAATGTAATAGAACTAGGCATTTGGAAGAAAGTAATAATAGTAACCAATCAAATAAAAAGCCCCGAGCTCTGATGTGTGGCAACTATGATTCCATTCTGCACAAGAGAAATAGGAGGGAAATGGAGGTGCAATATTGCCCACTCATGCATGCATATGCTCAGATGTGTTTACTTCTCTTTAGTTTACATCACAGAATTCAGGGTTGAGTATTTACTCACTTACTAACGGTATTATCCAAACACCACAATGACATCAATCTCACGTCACCAAACTAGAGCTCCATCCTAAAGAATCCTGAGAAGAATCCTGGGCCAAAACTAACAAAATGAAGTTCAGCAGAGACAAATGCAAGATATTCGACTTTGGCAGAAAAAACAAAATGCAAAGATACAGAATGGGGGGGGGGGACGCCTGGCTCGAGAGCAGTATGTGTGAAAAAGATCTTGGAGTCCTCGTGGACAACAAGTTAAACATGAGCCAACAATGTGATGTGGCGGCAAAAAAAGCCAATGGGATTTTGGCCTGCATCAATAGCAGCAAAATCTAGGGAAGTAATGCTACCCCTCTATTCTGCTTTGGTTAGACCACACCTGGAATATTGTGTCCAATTCTGGGCACCACAATTGAAGAGAGATATTGCCAAGCTGGAATGTGTCCAGAGGAGGGCAACTTAAATGATCAAGGGTCTGGAGAACAAGCCCTATGAGGTGCGGCTTAAGGAGCTGGGCATGTTTAGCCTGAAGAACAGAAGGCTGAGAGGAGATATGATAGCCATGTATAAATATGTGAGAGGAAGTCACAGGGAGGAGGGAGCAAGCTTGTTTTCTGCTTCCTTTGAGACTAGGATGCAGCAAAACACCCCTCGATCCTTCCCACCCAACCAGAAAGAAAACCCCAAATATTTGCCCTTTTCTATTTTTTGAGACAATGGCTTCAAACTACAAGAAAGGAGATTCCATCTGAACATGAGAAATAACTTCCTGACTGTGAGAGCCGTTCAGCAGTGGAACTCTCTGCCCCAGAGTGTGGTGGAGGCTCCTTCTTTGGAAGCTTTTAAACTGGGGCTGGATGGCCATCTGTCAGGGGTGCTTTGAATGCAATATTCCTGCTTCTTGGCAGGGGGTTGGACTGGATGGCCCATGAGGTCTCTTCCAACTCTATGATTCTATGATTCTATGAACTGTAGTCTAATAAGGAACTTAGAATTCTCTACTCCACTTCCTTTTAATACAGCATTACCTGAATCTCTGCCAGATAATTTTAAGTATCTCACAAAACTACAAATCCCAGAACCGCATGGGATGGTGCCAGGACAATTAAAGTGGTACTAAACAGATTTGTGTAAAGGGGAAAGATCCCAAGTTTCCAGGGCCCAGCTGCTGAAAGCCTTGGTTCAGTGTAGGTTCAAGGGAGGGAAAAGAAGGGTAAACTCAGCAAAAGAATGCCGCTTTAAAGCAAGATAAAAAGCTCAGTCCAGCTGGCGCTGTTTCCAGATGTCTTCAAAAACAAAGGGTGACTGCATTAGTTCAGGTGCTTGCAATAGACCAAGAGAATGTTTAAACTTGGCTTTGCCAAGGAAATTATGTCAGCAGCTAGGCTGCTGATATAAGATAGTTCCCTGGAGCTCATTTTGTTCACAAGCAGGAAGAATAGGGTTTGTGGCTCATCATCTGCGAGGCCAACACCGTGCCTCTGCATTCTGCAGCCCTTTAATCATCGCAACCCACCAGGCTTCATGTCCCTAACAGGTCCCCCCACTATCCCCAAATTTTTAATGCATGGAAAACAAATAAACTCCACTGGCTTTTGCTGAGGACGCTAATAGGAAAAACAGTGTGAAGTCAGAGCACCAATAAAAATCTGGACATGTGCAAATACCTCTAAATTGAATAGACAATATGTGAAGCACAGGGTGATACATAGGTATTCCTAGTTTCCACGGTGTAGCTATGCAGAGGGATTTTTGTTTTATTCTCCCCTTGTCTTCCCCACATGTGCTCACAATTTGCCAACAGACAATAGGCAAGCTTGGGAAAATGTTTGTTTTTTTTTAATAGCGAACTTACCATTTTGGACTACAAGTGGTTTGCCATTGCCGTCCTTTGATGCCAAAAGAGTGTGACTTGCCAAAGGTCACCAAATGAGTTTCTAAGGCCTACCAAATTACTAGTATAGTCATAGAATCATTGAGTTGGAAGAGACCTCATGGGCCATCCAGTCCAACTCCCTGCCAAGAAGCAGGAAAGTTGCATTCAAAGCACCCCTGACAGATGGCCATCCAGCCTCTGTTTAAAAGCTTCCAAAGAAGAAGCCTCTACCACACTCCGGGGCAGAGAGTTCCACTGCTGAACGGCTCTCACAGTCAGGAAGTTCTTCCTAATGTTCAGATGGAATCTCCTTTCTTATAGTTTGAAGCCATTGTTCCACGTCCTAGTCTCCAGGGCAGCGGAAAACTAGTTTACTCGCTTCTTCCTATGACTTCCTCTCACATATTTATACATAGCTGTCATGTCTCCTCTCAGCCTTTTCTTCTTCAGGCTAAAAATGCCCAGCTCTTTAAGCCACTCCTCATAGGGCTTGTTCTCCAGACCCTTGATCATTTTAGTCACCCTCCTCTGGACACATTTCAGCTTGTCAGTTGTGGTGCCCAGAATTGGACACAATATTCCAGGTGTGGTCTAACCAAGGCAGAATAGAGGGGGAGCATGACTTCCCTGGATCTAGACACTATACTCCTATTTATGCAGGCCAAAATCCCATTGTTGGCTCATGTTTAACTTCTAGTCCTTCTAACATTAATGAATTCACAAACTAGAGCACATCTGACCCTCTCCAGTGACATACAGTGAATGTCTGCATGATATTCGGGGATGCCCTGATTCCACTAAGCATTAACCAAATTAAATCGAGTGGGTGTGGTGGACCTCTTGAGTAAAATAGCATTATGTCATGTGTTGTCTTTCATTAAGCCTCACCAAAGAAATGCAGGTGAGTACCAACCAAGAGTTCTGCCTACTCTGCAAAGTTTAGCTTTGTTTTGTGCTTGACAGGAGGAAGACAACTACACAGTAAGCCTTGCAGAAAAGGGGATAAGAAGATATATGTGGATCTACTTGTAGATTTCTGCATGATTTGCTACAAATGTACAAGAATTTTTGATACACGACTGACTCCATATTCCAGCGTGATTGCTCTGGCCTCAGAGGCAAACATGAGCAGTCAGACACAACTCAGTCATAATTGACCCAGCTTCCCATAGGAGACCTTGGTGTTTCAAATACAATTACTATGGCCTCTGGGCGAGGACAGAACCACCAGGCACGACTCCACCATGCCTTGGCATGACAGCTGGTGAAAGGCCCTCCTTCCATGCTCCAACAGCCATTGCTTTAGCCTCTGAGGAAGAGAAGAGCAGCTTCCGTCTGCCAGAATTAACCCCCCACTGATATCTCCCTTTCCTTTAACAATAACTTTAACACATACACTAACCTAATCTTTGTTGTTAAAATGGACAAAGCTTGAGGGTTTGGCATACATTCTTGACATTTCACACTTAAAAATGGGAAATGTGTATCCAAGCAATGTCAGAGCATGGTCAAAATGGTGTGGACAGGCAACGAGAGTGTAAAAGATGAAAGAGGAAAAATACACAAAATGATAATTTTAATCTTGATGTGTATGTAAAGAGTTTTAAAAAGCGAGGAAAAAGAAAAAATGGGCATATTAGAAAAGTGAAAACCACACCTTATCTTCTCCTTTCCCTCGTGCTGAATTAAATCAGTGTTTCTTAACCTGTGGACTGTGGACTACCAGTGGGCCGCGAGGATGAAAATCTGGTCCACGAGCCTCCTTCCTCTTTCTTTATTTATTTTACTTCCACTTCTTTTGCATTGCTTGTCACTCCTTCCCTGTTCTGTATCAGAAACTAGAGCTGATGTGGTCTATCCAATGCAATTTTCTGAATCAGCATCCCAAACAGAATCTAAAGTTGACCAAAAACTGATTTGTTATCCTTTTGGAACTAATGTTGGGGAGTGGTCCCTGGTCAAAGTGGTCCATGATCAAAGTGGGTGATTCCTGGTCAAGTGGCCCCTGGTCAAAAAAAGTTTGGAAACCACTGAGTTGAATGAATGCAAATTACTTTAAATTTCACATTGTGGCAACTGAAGGAAACCAAAGTACAGTGAGAAGAGAGGAAGAAACTGAGAGCCCTTCACACAACAATATATCCCAGAATATCAAGGCAGAATAACCCACAATATCTGCTTTGAACTGGATTATCTGAGTCCACACTGCCATATATTCCAGTTCAAAGCAGATAATGTGGGATTTTATTCAGCTATGTGAAAGGGGCCTGAGATCTTTTAGAAGCAAATGAGAAATGATTACCTGGTATTGTACTTGTAAACTGGAACATTTTTGAAGTATAGGCATGGCAGAGTGGGTTTTTCTATGGAAGGGTCGTGGGATTCAGTTAGCTTTTTCTGGTTCCCAAAACAAATTCCTGGGCTCAGAAAACTTTCAATTCGAAGTATATGTCTGGCATAAGACTCTCATTGGCACAGGCTGGATTCAAGTAAAGAAACAAGGAAAACCTGAAACCTTCCTGATACTACCAAAACAGCCTTTTCCAATGTGTGGAAGAACTTAAGTGCATTAGAATACAGCTCCTATCATTCCCAGTCCATGGCCATGTGAAATGGCTGGAATCCAACCCATCAGAAAAGCACCATCTTACACTTCGGAGAACATGAAATCCTCCAGGAAAACTGCTTTTCTTTTGAAGATGGGGAAGTTTCCCTTTTTACTTAAACAATATGCTTGCAGGCAAAGCAACCTACCAAACAGTAGAAATGAAACAGCCTATTACCTGAAGAGACAGTTCACTGGAGTTGAGGTCTAGAATCCCTCCATCCGAAAGGCGAGAGCGATATTGTCCTGCCAGAAAAGGAGAGTCCATTTTCTGAAGGAGGTCGTCCCCTCTGCTTTCTGTTTTGGATCTGTCCGGATGCAAGCGGTCAGTGTCCATGAGGGTGCAGTGTCCATTTTCAGGCTCGGTTTTTGGACTGCCTTTACTGCCTTTGCTTTCCTTGCTGCTGGGAGAGGTCCTGGTGATGACACCAAACTTTCTAGTCCTTTTCCCATTCTGGGCGGATTTCCCACTGGGCTCTGAGGTAGGCCTGGCCTTGGGCTCGCTGCTACTACTGCTGCTGTTGCTGTTGTTGCCATTGGCTGGAGGAAGCGGGGCCTTGCGCTTAATGCGACGCAACATGATCAGGTAGATGAAGCCGCCATTCCAGCACTGATCAGCAAGGTAGCTGCAAGTAAAAAGAAAGAGGGGCAGAGTTTAGCAACAAACCATCACAAAAGGCTAGCATTGGTGACAAAATTGGCAATGGAACATGAGTTCATTACAAGAGCTCTAGAACTTGACAGGTTGACATTTCTGCATAACTCTGAGGGGTTTCCCATGCTCTTTTCTGCATGTGGAATCATATTACCAAAGTTTGACTCCATATTCTGCATTAGCTGCGGTGGTGTAAAAAAGCAATTTCTGTTCCCATACTTGGAAACTGAATGAGGATCAGAACTTGGAAATGTTACATCTTTCAAGTTGTACAACTCCCAGACAGCATGGTCACCAACTATGTTGCCTGGGGAATTATAGGACCAGTAGACTTAAAACACCAGCATTTCCACTAGACAGCAAGGGTTGCAACCATGAGCCACTTCAAATGTTGTTGAACCACAAGTCCCAGTTACCAGTAGCTAGCTAGCATGGCCAATGATGAGGAATACTGGTACCAGTGCCAGAACCATTCCCTCCTGTGAGTGACCTGTGATACAATAGGCAGAAACAGCACCCCTCTTGCAGTCTCCTCCCATGGGCCTAAGATTGCTCAAGTGTGTGTTTCGGGGTGGGGGGGGGGGGAATGGGGGGGCATTGGTGAACAGATCCCTGTTGATCACATTGGCTGCTGCTCCATGGAAACTCCTCTGTGAGAGGAGACATGATGGGCATGAATATGTGAGGGGCAGTCATTGGGAGGAGGAGCAAGCTAGGATGTGGAACAATGACTTCAAACTACAGGAAAGGAGATTCCACCTGAGCATTAGGAAGAACTTCCTAAATGTGAGAGCTGTTCAGCAGTGGAACTCTCTGCCCTGGAGTGTGGTGAAGCTCCTTCCTTGAAGGCTTTTAAACAGAGGCTGGATGGACATTTGTCAGGGGTGCTTTGAATGCAATTTTCCTGCTTCTTGGCAGGGGATTGGACTGGGTGGCCCACGAGGTCTCGTCCAACTCAATGATTCTATGTAGTGTAGCAACCCATATACTCCATACAATTTGCAATGGAAAGCTGTTCACATAAGAAAAAAGGAAATGTTACCAACAGTTTAGTTACTATTGTGTTGAGATGGTTAGCAACATACACCAATGCAATACTGTTTGCCAGCTTTGTCCCTCCCACAAACAATATGTTAAAAAATTCAAAAAGCATATACGCCAAAGATGGACACTATATATTGCTACTCCTATGGATATAGGAACATATACTGTCTCCAGGGACCCTTAAACTTGATTTTCTACATATAAGATCAGAATAACATATTTACAAGGATAATAAAACATCAAAACATCTGGGCGTCCTTTGGGCAACGTCCTTGCAACTGCCAATTCTCTCACACCAAAAGCCACTTGCAGTTTCTCAAGTCGCTCCTGAATTGGCAGCAATGTTGTGTTGATATGGAATGTTCACAAATATTCTGGTTATTTTAGAAGATGAAACTGATGGCAAATTGGGCTTCTTCCAGCCCTGAGGCAACAGGTCAGATGAGACCATACTGAAATGCTTTTGAATGTCGCATAATAAAGCCAATATGCCAAAAGGATGCAAGAACAGGCTGCAAATTGCTCATATCCAGGCATGACCAGTTGGTCTGTTGGTCTTTCAGTGTCAGCCTCTTTGCCAGTAATAAGGAGTGGCTTTATAATAAAATGTTGCCTTATAATTAGACACTTGTAATAAGACTATAATAAACTTGTCTTACAGAACTGCTGAAAGGTTTTCTAAGCTCACAGCAATCCTGCATGTGAAACAGTTTGAGCTCTTACCAACAAAAATAATGTGCAGAATCTCAGTTCAATATCTGTGATCGCAGTCTTAAGAGACTGTGGCTTTAAGAGAGATATGCCTAGCCGGTCTTTGTGACAGAATTGTGATTATCGGCATAGGAAATCTGAAACTAGTGCAGAATTTTCAGCTTTCTCCCAATCCTCATACAGAGCAAACTGCACACTCCATGTGTTTGGCCGATAGTAATCCAGGTCTTTAAAAAAGTTCTGAGAAAAATTTCAGGGATGTGTTTGTGCAGGCAATCAATGTCTATGAAAGATTGAGACATGCTACCACCAAGAAACAAATGAAACTCTTTGAACAACAATAAGTAAGCCAAAAGCCATTATCACTTCAGGCAATAAAGTTCTTCAGAGATCTTAGCAGGCAGAAAGAAAACAAGGTGTTGACAGAGAATAGGTTGACTCCCTTGCAAAGAGCTTGTACTCAGCAATAAAGCAATACAAACCTGCCTAATAGTGTGCCAGAACTTTGGCCAGAAATTGGAAATATTGCTTTTAAGAGGACTACAACTCCCAAATACTATCGTCATCACGGATACTAGAAGATGTAGCCTTCAAAAGGACCCCCCTCCCAGTAGGAGAGAGGGTTTGAGGCTGCTTTTAATAACCTACCTTAGGAATAATTTGATTGAAAAGAGGGATATAAACTTCCTGAATAAACAAACAAGGTCAATCACAAGCAGTCATGCAGTGTTCACACATTAGAAAGTCTGGCCCAGAAATAAACTGCCCTGGCAGAGGTGTTAGTGACCTCAGTGTGGCATGAAGCATATGGAAACCTTTATTGTCAATGTTTTCTCCTTTTTATGTGCCCAGCATCACATTTACACCAGGTGCAGCCTTCTACTCTCTGGAGACTGGGAAACAAAAATCTGGCACTTCAAGACCATTACACAAACTAATGCAAATAGACCCTAGGTTTCATAAAGCCTTTATTCTGTTCGTCAGCCATGAAGCAGACAGATGGTTCTGAAAGCAGGACTCCTCATTGCCTTTGGGACACATTACAACTTATGGGTTTTGCTTTTTAAATCCTTACAACCGACCACTGCTTCTTTATTTCCACTGGATCCTTTCTTCACTACAGTATGATTCCCATGTCCATGGAGGATACATTCCTGAACCAATTGCTGCTTTGGACCAGAGTGCAGAGAGAGGGGACCAGGAAGACAGTTCCACCTTATCTCCTGTTCTATACTAATAATTAATATAATATAATATAATATAATATAATATAATATATATAATATTTATAATATAATGTAATACAATATGATACTAATACTAATAATAATACAATATTATAATTATATTAATTAATTAATTTAAAACGTTTATATCCCTATCTTAACCTCCGTAGAGGGACTCAGCCCGGGTAACAGCAAGGATTCAATGCTACAGTACAGTCTAAAACAACGTATATCAACAGAAAAATTAAAATACATATAGAATAAAATACATATAAGCCAATTCGCCAACAGTAAAATCATGTCCAAACTCAGTCCACATGTGGTCAATAACTCTGTTCAATTGTCAGGCTCGGTCATTATTCTGGGAAGTCCTCGTTCCATATCCAGGATTTCACTAGCTTCCTGAAGGTCAGGAGGGAAGGGGCACATCTAATCTCATTCAGGAGGGAGTTCCATAGCCAGGGGGGCCACCACAGAGACGGCCCTGTCTCTCGTTCCCACCAGACAAGATTGTGAAAGTGGCGGGACCAAGAGCAGGGCCCCACCAGAAGATCTTAACAGCCTTGATAGTTCATATATTTTATATTGCATGTAATATTACTAATAATATTACAATATAATGGTATAGTACAATATAGTAATATATAATACTGATATTTTGCTATGCTAATAATATATTGTATGTAAATATATCTTGTAAGTTGCTCTGAGTCCCCTTCAGGGTGAGAAGGGAGGCATATAAATGTCGTAAACAATAAATAAATAACACTAAAGAAACAGAAAACCATAGATAATAGCAAACCCTATTGAAATGAATTATTTCAGAATTGCTCCGTTCATTTCAAGTGAGTTCACTGTTATTGCTGGAGGAACTAGAGAGGACATATTTTGCAAGTAGATCAAACTACAGGTACTGGTTCCAAGAGTATAGTATGCTGTTCTACTGTTTTCCCTTCATGCTCCCAGTTGGACAATAGAAAGAAACCAGACTCTTTCCCTCCTGTTGACTCATAACTATGAATCTTTACTTAAAGGAGGAATGATAATCATGTAAAAGCTGCTGCATTCTTACATAAAACTGCTCACCGTCTTTAAATACCTGAGCCAGGGTTCCCAGATCTCAGTGCCTAACCTTGAGTTGGAGGGCTTGGACTATGTCCCTAAGCAAGAGGAAGAATCTCAAGGAGAGAATATGACTTTGAAAAGTGTGTGTTCTGCTTATTTGTTGGACTTGATGTCTTCTATTTGATGGTCTACTCTCTGGTTGATGTGTAATGTACCACACTTAATAACATCACCAAGGGCTTCATAGTAATATTTACATAGTAAAATTTATTGATTAGTCCACTGACCATATCAACAGTAAAAGACAAAAACAAGAAAATACACAAATAGACACTAATCACTGTCCTAAAACTCCTGTAATAGTGAACATACATTAAAACACAATTAGAACTTGATTAAGTTAAAAGTTAAAGATAATTAAAAATATCATCATCATGACCATGGGCTTCATCTTGTAACATCACCAAAATCTAGGCACTGTGACATCACTAGTTCTTAGGTTTTGGCCCTAAAATCTCACGATCTTGGATAGTCCTCACCTGGCAACCTTTGGTACAGTTCCACGCCAGTTGTATCTACAAATTTTTCAACTAGTCCTTACAGGCTACCAAACAAGATTTTCTGCTTTGGGTTTCATTTTGTTCCCTCCCAGCACTCTCCCAGATGTGGTCGTGATGTACACTAATAATGGCCTCTGAACCAGAAAGGCACAGTAGAGCTTGTTCTTGCTTGTCTTACTTGTCCATTCAGGGCCCTTCCTTGCAGCCCTATATCCCAGAATATCAAGGCAGAAAATCCCACAATATCTACTTTGAACTGGGTTATCTGAGTCCACCCTGTCATATATCCCAGTTTAAAGCAGATATTGTGGGATTTTCTGCCTTGATATTCTGAGATATAGGGCTGTGTGGGAGGGCCCTTTGTT